ATCGATGATCAACCAAAAAGCCTCTCTATCCCCATGAACCCATTAGCAGACATTGATGTAGTGTGTCGCACCCAACTGCTCGACTTCTTCAGGAAATCAAACACTCCTCCAGAGCAAATGCGCTCACTGACCCTTGAGACAATCAATGTCAACTATCCTGCAGATCAATGGCTCCAAGTCTTCACTGATGGGTCATACACAGAAAACCAAGCAAACGTTGGTGCAGGTGTCTATTCTGAACTCTTCTCTTTCTACGCAGCAGCGGGACATAATAGATCCGCTTTTGAAGGAGAAATAGAGGCCATTAGGATAGCACTATGCCAATTATGTTGCCTGGATACGAAATTCACCAAAGCGGTGATACTTTCGGACTCACAGTCAGCAATAAACTCTATTGGAAACAGAGAGACACCCAAAACAGCTGAGATAAAGGAATGTAGAAAACTCTATGAGCTGCTGAGAGAGAAAAACAAAACAGTGGTCCTGCAATGGATTCCTGGTCACTGTGGCATTAAAGGCAATGAGATTGCTGACACACTTGCTAAGAAGGGGACAACGATTTTGCAATGCATGGACCGGCCGATGTCTTTCCACACAATGAAGACCTTAATCAGGAGAGAATTCCAGACCTCAAGGTTCAACGAACTCAAAGCTCGAACAAAGGAGAAACAGTGGACAGTGGCACTCTCCGGCATACCCGACTGGCCAAGAATCGAAGCCGTTGCTGAGTTTAGACTACGTACCGGACATGATTGCTTGGCAAAAAACCTTCACAGATTGGGAGTATACACTCAACCCACATGCCCTCTATGTAACCTACAGGAGGAAATGGAGAAGACCCACCTGATTCGGTGTCCAGCTCTAAAGACAAGGACGGAAAGCCAAAGATACTGGGAAGCAAGAAGACTGCTAATGAACTGCTATTAATTAACTGCTATAAATGTACCCCCCCCCCCTCTTGGGGGAAGCTGAAGTCAAAGATTAAGGGCTAATGATAAATATCATAAAGCCTGCCATTTGAAATAAATAAATAAATAAATAAATAAATAAATGTTTCTCTCATGGGGTGCACGTTAGACTTACCTCCATGTGGTGCGCTCTGTGCAATGTATACTCATATGGCAAAAAGTCTATTAATTGGCAGTTGAATTCTGACCTCAAACTATTATGACCCCACTGTATGTCATACTCGACCCCTTCACAGTACTCATCTTGCCTTTTCTCTACCTTTGTGTCTGTTTGTCATTCTTTTTTACATCTGTGAATCATTACTCTGTCCCCCCTTTCGACTTTTTGTCACTTTGGTGCTCTTTCACCTCTCTGTGAAGTCCGAAGTTAGATAAAGGGCTAATGATAACTCTCAGAACGCATGCCACTTGAAATAAATAAATGTTTCTATTATGTAAGTGATTCCGTTTCATATGTCGAAAGTAGTGATGTTAAGCCCAGGTAAAGTTAAAATTTCTTATGAATTTTGCGTCTTCCTACATTCACCGGTTTCTTTTACGCTAGAGTTCTTAAAAATATATTCCTTTCCTTCTTGTATTTTCTCGGTATTTTGAGCCACACTTGTGAAAGCCAAATGAAGTTCCAATTGTAGAAATTAGAAAACATTCTAGATAAAGTGGATAACATAATTGTTGAAATGTAGTTTCGTGAATACATGTAATTGGTATAAGAATCGAGAAATTTGGCCACGACTAAGTGATTACGAGGAATCATTTCAGTTTGGACTACAAACAAGGGATATTTATATGCTGTCCCTTAATGTTCGTATCAAATGGCAGACGTTTTGATGATCATCACTAGCCCTTTAGTTGACTTCAGGCTTCACAGAGGGGAAGGAACATCAAAGTGAAATGGAAAGAAGTCGAGAGGGGGGGGGGAGGAACCAAAGAACGTTTCAAAGACGAAGGTAGAAAAGGTAGGAAAAAGGTGAGGTGAGTACTGGGGAAGTAGTCGAATATGACATACAGTGGGGTCATGGTAATTTGAAGTCAGAAGTCAACTGTCTTTTAATAGACTTTCTGCCGTATGAGTATACGTTGCCCAGGGTGCACCACGTGGAGGTAAGTCTATCGCACACTCCTGTCCCTTAATGTAACTTCGCCTGGACACATGTAGTGCTCTTTAAGTGCGATTGTTGTGTTTGGATTTAGGGGGGCATACAAAATGATTAAGGCTGGTATGCGAAGACGGGCAAAATGAAATTTCAATGAGTCAAATTCTATTGGATAAAGCGCTTCCCAACACCCATCTTGATTAAAGAGTGGCGTCATGAAACGTCCCTGGTGGAGGACCCGGATTATATCATATATATCAACCAAACTAACCAGTGGTTACGATCATACAAACACTTCACCATTTAAAATCGCCATCAACTCTTTAGGTTCTTTCCGGCCAGGAGAGATAAGCTGCAACCTTTCCAACATTGTAATCTTTATTACCCAGATTGAAATACATTAATTTACACATCTTAAACCCGCAGTGTACCTTACGTTTAAAGAAATTTTTCTGCTAAAGAATATGTGGAATTAAGTGCCATATACGCTAATACTTACACAGTCCTCACTGAGTCTACTCCTTTTTTTGAGAAATTGGAGCCAAGAATGAGCATTCGAGCTACTGTTTTAATTTGAATTCACAACAAAAACTCAGTTTTAACTTAGTCATCTTCACAAGAGGAAAATCTAGAAGGTCAATTTTATTACGTAAGTTTATTCGATTCTATTCAAATGTGCTCTTTGACGATGTGTCTTTGCTAAATCTTGTAGGTCAGCCGCATTTTCCGGCCGCAATTTTCAAAAAAACTTATAACATGGTTTGATTATTCGTCGTGTGGAGGAACACAACTTTACCATGACAAAATCAGAGGATTCTCGAGCAATTTCAGGTCAAAGCCCATCATAAATCAGTATCTTCTATAGCTTTACGATAGTTTAGCTAATGCTGGGAGCCTTTCCAAAATTAGGAGAATCTGCTATAGAGATTTCTGAGTAGAGTCAAGGCTTTTAGTGTATCAAACCATTACAATCTTTAATAAGAGAATTCAATTTAACTACTTAGGTTACATTAAGTAAAATAAACTTATGGAACTAAATTTTCGTGATGGGGCGGGTGGGGGGGGGGGGGGGGGGGGGGGGGGGGGAAGGGTTTGCCCTTAAAACAATGTGGCCATGCCGGTGAAGGGACTCTAGAGCAGTTCGTAGGTGGTTTGTTTCCATACAATCGAACCTTTCCCTTCCTTTTTACTTGCTTATCCACATAATTGAAATACCCAAGTTAAATCAAGTATTCGATTAAACTTGTTCATAAAATTGAAAAGTAAACTTAGCTGATATTAATAGCACCCAAATGTTAATCTCGTCTGATTATCACAGTGTTTCATCCTTTTCATTAGACAGAATTAACTTTCGACGTCATCAGATATGCAAAAATTAGCATGGATTTTTTGGTCTCTGACCTTGCGTAGGTGGGGTTCAACTGTAGCGCTGGAAGAGTTGAAAGGAAGGCAGACGCGTTTCTGATTTGACAGCAGCAAATGACAATAGACAGACAGATTGAGTGGGATCTAGAAATTGGCAAATTCAAAATTATTATGGCTATAGAGCGAGGAGAGATTTTTTGGACCAAAAGGAGGGGGGGGGGGTTGAAGGTATATGTTGCTGACACGTTATGACGACACATTTGGATTAAACTCATCGTGTGGTGGTCGACAAGTTTTGTCAAATTGACTTGACAGTGTCGGGTGTCCAGTGTTGATTAGCTTGATAGATCTATTAAGTTCGGAATGAATATTAATGGGAGGTTTTTTAGAAATAATTATTAATGATATTAACAAAGAAATTTTTAAAAATGAAACATTTTTAAGTTTGAAGAAAAAACACGACAAATTGGATGTATTAGAAAATGGGAATGAGGAGTGGATTAAAATCTGTCATTGGTTTTTATGTAGTCGAAGGAAACTTCGGAATTTTTTTGATGAAATGCGCACTTGTATTTGCGTATTTGAGACAGAAAAATGTCCTGTCGAGAACACAGACAGTGCTGGGTAATACTACTTTGGCCCTTCACCATACCAATAATTGAAGAGTAGAAATTTGTCAGCTCGGCATTGAAAGTAGCGCCAAGCTTCGTTACCCGAAGAAACACTAAGAAGCGGTTTAAGTAATTCAATTAAACTAAGAACAAGCAAATTGCGATTAAGACAGCTAGGGGTAAAATACTCATATATTGGATTAAAATGAGACACTAATTAGCATTTTAAATGGTCATTGGTTGCTTATAGTGGAGTTCGTTTAAATATAAAACAGTTATTGGAATAGTCTTGTCTATTTTAATGCTCAATAAAATAACCTATTTAAATTCCATTCTAAAGGAAATTTATTGTAATAACTCAGTGCACCGAAAATAGTCAGAAACAGACTTGAGCAAAATCCGAAATGACTTGTTATAAATTGAATTAAGAAATTACCTCATTTAAGCAAAATACTATTTTACGAATTACTACCAATAAGATTTTACAAGCATAAATGGCACTAATTTTATCTTAAATTATTAGGGGTGTGTGATAGACTTACCTCCACGTGGTGCACCCTGGGCAACGTATACTCATACGGCAAAAAGTCTATTAATCGGCAATTGACTTCAAACTACCATCACCCCACTGTGTGTCATATTCGACTTCTTTCACAGTACTCGCCTCACCTTTTTCCACCTTTGTGTCTGTCTCTTTTACATCTTTGAATCACTCTTCCTCCCCCCCCCCCCCCCCCCCCCACCTCTCGACTTTTTTCACTTTGATTTTCCTTCCCCTCTGTGAAGCTTGAAGTCAACTAAAGGGCTAATGGTAACTATCAAAACGCCAGCCATTTGATATAAATAAATAAAATCCTAAATTATTAGATATTGACGTCTAAATTTTTAGTTTTAAATCCTATGTACACTTGCCGGAGTGCAATTTCAGCAGACTATATGCTCAAACTGCGCGTTCTCGATGAATGAACAATATTCCTGTCCTCCTCTCATTGGCCACTGTACCATTTAGCCCACGTGAGTCCGGGCCAATAGCAGGTGTGGAAAGTAACTACTCAGAGCTATTTAAGTCACCCATCATTCCTGATCTCCCCAGTTCTGTCCAAATGCTCCCATCAGCTCTTTTCCTCCTCTTTCTCACTATCCTCCTCCTGCCTCCCCGTTCTAGTGCCATCCCTTCCTCAACTAAATCCGTCCACTATGTAGTGCAGGAAGAATGTAGTCCTGGAACTTATATCGGCAACCCTATTCAAGATGCCAATATCCAGCTCAGCAGCAAACAGCCTCTTTCTTTCAAACTTATGTATGGTATGCAAGAGGTCTTCGATTTAAATGAGACAACTGGGGATTTACGAACAAATCAGCATCTTGATCGAGAGGTTTTGTGTGCAACGGAACCCCGTGTTAGGCGGAAAATTGATCGACCTCCTCTCAAAAGGCTGGAAATCATCAAAGTTAATAAGGAAATCAAATACGCTAATGTGATCGCCTCCAGCTCTGCGTCCCCCCAAAAGTGTCAAGTGAAAACTAGTATTGTTGTCTACGGAAATGATAAGCTTTCAGAAACTTGGATAAATGTCTATCTCATTGTACGGGATTTGAATGACAATCGACCATTCTTTGAGGACACTTATTGGAATCTTACTATAAGTGAATCCACCTCTGTTGGCACCACATTTAAACTACCCCAAGCCATTGACCCAGATGAGGGGGAAAACTCCATTCGTCGATACGGTCTGGTTGATGAAAGTTCGCCTACCTGTCGAAATCGCTTCTCAATCACTTGTCAATCTGAAATTGTCTCTTGTCATCTACGACTTGTTGTTGAGAAGGCAATTGATTTTGAAACCTGCCAAAATCATGATTTGATCTTATTTGCTGAAGATTCTGGCCCCTCAGATGCATTGTTGCCTTTTCGCGTTGACATTAAAGGGGAAAATGAGTTTACTCCACAATTCATTCAACCGGTGACTAAGTTTGCAATTTCTAGGGATAGTCAAATTGGCACGACTATCACAACTTTTCATGTTGTGGATAAAGATGGAGGAAAGGATGGAGAAGTCACTTTTCTATCAAACTCTTCTTACTTTCGAGTTACTGGTGGAAAGTTGATCCTTAGTAGGAGTCTTCTTTATTATCCAGGAAAGCAAATGAATGTTTTCGTGACTGCGGCAGATGGTGGAAATCCAAAACAACAATCGACAGTTGAGGTAGCGATTGAAATTGCCGGGCAGGAAGCAGAACTTCAACCTGATCGAATATTTATCAAACCCCTTGGTGGAGAAGCTATAAGTGGTGTAGAAGCACCAATAATTCTCCCAAATGCCGCTGAAAGGGATACATTAGTAGCATTAGTATGGACAGAAAATGATGCCTCCAATATTGACTGTTCTATCCAACCTGAACTTCCTCACTTCGCCATTGAAAATGCAGGTCATCTAATGGGAAAGCCAACTTTCACCCTGAAGGTTAGTAGATCTTACAACTTTTCGGAGAATTATAACATGGTACGGAGTCGCATTGAACACCGTGATGTTCGCATTGTCTGTGGTGGAAGTCATTTAAATCTTCGATTGCGCCTTGCTCCTCCTCTTGGCCAACAATTTCGTTTTATTCATGATAACATTCGCCTTTCAATTGAGGAATCATCAAGCCCAATTATTGGATTTTACACCCTTAGAACAGTAAATGGAATTGGAGAGGTTCATTTTTCAAAAGAACGCGGATTGCCGGAGTGTGATCGAATGTATATAAATCCCCATGACGGTACCCTATCTCTCCCTGGTGGAATTGATCGTGAGGTCACATCGGAATTAAAATGCCTTTTTTCCGCTTTCGACACTGATGACCCTGTAAATAGAATTAAAATCAGTGTGGTGATAGTCGTATTGGATATTAATGATTGTTCACCTTCCCTCATAAAAGAACATTACTTCTTACCCGAATTCGACAGTGTCTTCCAGCCCCCTGATCCTTCGACCTGGGTGCCATTATTTAAACTGCATGCCATTGATTCAGATGCGGGTTTGAATGGGACTATAAAATACGACTTGAGAAGCGTCAGAACATTCGGAAACGGTTCAACCTACGATAGGATTCCTGAATTCCGTTTATCTGTAGACTCCGGTGAGGTATTTATCAAGGGTACAGACTACCCTTTGTTGGATAGGGAAGAAATAACCGAAATCGTCCTCTTTGTATTCCTCTGTGACATGGGGAGCCCATTTCGCCTTTCAGCAGAATATGAAGTTCGAGTAACTTTGGAAGACGTGAATGATAATGTTCCAATCTTCTTTGATGCAGAAAGTGATAATATTCTGCAAAATATGCCCTGGTATCGATCTATTGAGGCAGTTCCTGGATTTTGGACTCAAATTCGTATATTCGATCCAGATTTGGAGGAGAATGGAACCACCGTGCTTTCGATTCTTGACAAACCATTTATGGAAGGGGATAAGGAACCCTATTTACGCCCACATCAAGTGACTTTGTTCAAAGATGGACGGCTCTGGGTTCCCGAATCATTGACCAAGCATATTCCTGTTCAAGCTGTCTACCTTCGAGTAATAGATAAGGGATCTAGACGTCAACTTCACAGTGAAGTGAAACTAATAGTGGATCCAGAAATCGAATCGCACAAAAGGAATCAGCTCAAACGTCCAATGTATGTATATAGAAATGCTCATCGTGCTGGCAAATACACGGAGCGACGAGATGACAAAAATTCTCCCACCATGCTAAGCAGAGTCCATATTATCCTTATTGTTGTTGGCGTTAGCCTGATCTGTTGTATTCTTATTAGTATTTGGGTTGCTTGTTTAGTTTTACAAAATTAACCGCTCTTGCTTACCTCATTCCTCCCTCTCCCTCTCCCATTCCCTCCCCCCCCCCACTCCCCTTTTCCATTGAATATCAACGATCTCAATATTTTTACACATTTAAATTTTCTTTCATTTTCAACTATTTTGCCACGCTATTATTAAATGCATTATTGATTTTATGTGGGCGCATTTGAGTTTTTTGACGTAGATTAAGCTCAGTTGACGTAAATTTGGTGTTTTTGACATTATTTTCGTTTTTAGTGAATTTGGGGACAACTGATGAGAATTTTCATTTAACCGATAATGCTAGTATACCATCATTGTTGATTGACTTTTGTGGTAAACTTTGTATGTCATTTGAGAGATTGACATCTTTTCTAAATCCAATGCTATGTGACAGACTACCCATGCTAAATTGCCGCATTAGAAGAAATTAAGTTTGGCCCATAAGTTTTCAATTTTTTAGCCATTTCAAAGCACATATAGCCATAGTCATTTGATTAGTGAGATTTATCTAATCGTTTAAAATTTCTGTCAAACTTTGTTTCTTCAAAAGACCAAAGCAGTCAAGGGAGACGTCAATTAACTACCAATCACCAGGATGCATCTCACATGCAGGAAACTTCAATCGTTGAAACCATCTGCAGCATTCAATTAGGTTGGAGCTTAGCTAAGTTCACATCCACCTGAGAGTGAATGAAAGCATGTACCCGATTTGATCAAACGTAAAGGATTTGGTGGAGTTATAGGTCCGCAGGTTTATGTGACCTGGAATTTTAAAATTTATTTAACAATACGCTTTCATTGTCTAAATTTAAGAATAGACGAAATGGCAGAGAGGAATCAAAACTGGAAACACGCGTAAAGAACAATTTTGAAAAACAATCGACAATTCATTTATATTAACTTTGGAAAGTGACCATTGTTCCTTTGGTAAAATGACTATAAAACTAAAAATGTATGATGGACATTGACTTATGACTACAAATTTTGTTGCTTAAGATACAGGCGTTTTGATAGTTATCATTAGCCCTGGAGCTGACTTCGGGGCTTCACGAAGAGGAGAAGGGACATCATCGTGACAAAAAGTCGAGATGGGAGACAGAATAATGATTCACAGAGGTAAAAGAGACAGACAGACAGACAGACACAATGGCATAAAAAAGGTGAGGTGAGTACTGTGGAAGTAGTCGAATATGACATAGAGTGGGGTCATGGTAGTTTGAAGTCAGAAGTCAACTGCCGATAAATAGACTTTTTTGCCATATAAGTATACGTTGCCCAGGATGCACCACGTGGAGGTAAGTCTATTGCGCACCCCGTGATTGAAAAGTATAACTCCCCAGAAGACTTGACAATTTGTTGGCTACTCCAGTTCAAGAATACATGCCAGACAATCTTACAAATCCCGGGGGGGGGGGGGTTGAGGTTTGAAGAATGGATTTTGCACCATTTGTGTTAATGGAAATGATTGACTTTGTTGGTACTCCCTCTACTGACAGTACCTCTACATAACAATGCCCGACACCTGTTCGTGACACACTCGGTCTTCTCTGTTAGGTGATATTGACATCTATTGAAAATGCGTCACCTAATCTCCCACGCTATTATTGTTCTAGAAGAGTCTTCATGTAACGAGTGTTTGGTAGCTTAATAACCCCAACCGTGGCCTTGATTAATCCAGGTAAGCGGTTATATACAGCGAATGTCTTGGTTAATGGCAGTAATAAGCGCATATCGTTTATTTCAGTGATATTTGGGGTTTATTTCAATTACCTGATGATGGAACCTGTTGAAGATGTTCTATAAATTTTATTTATTCAGGCATTTTAAAGTATTCACATTTGAGCGATTTATTTATGGAATTTGTCTTTTTTCTGCTTGAGATTATTTTTGCCTGAATTAAAATTAGCCTTTGTGTCTGGTAAAATATGACTTTTTTCATTAAATAAAAAGTCCTTTATCGATTGTTCATAAACTTCTTTAATGACCGGGGCAGATGTACGGATAACTATCCCACATGCTTTATGGTTATTTGCTACTTAATATGATCAGCAATATATTAGAAATGAAATGAAATTACACTTAGCTAAATTCAGTTTTCCAACTTAGAGGACCCACTGAAATTGTTTAGACGTACAATCAGATTCGTTTGAATAATCATTGGTTCATTTTCATTCTTCTTAAACATGGTAGATTAGAAATCAATATTCCCGCATTTACAACTAGTTCAAACAAGCACAAAAAGAGATAACAAATTTAATATTACTTCGTCAAAGTTAAGACACAAAACTTACTTACCTTAGTAACTTTCTTATTTAATGATATTAAGGCTCATGGTTTTGTAGGTTAATGTAAATTTTATAAAATAAATTAAAGCTGTCTAAGCCAAAGCCAATAAAGAAGACGACTTGTAGATGCCCTTAGTTCGAATACCAAATTAGCTTAAATTACCTCACCTTAAAATATTCACAGTGCTTTCTTTATGTTCGATCATTACTTTAAAATCGAATGTTCTCTTCTTCAAACGAAACGAAATTTCCAAAAGTAATTAGATTGCCAGTAATCATCGAAGTGAAGAACGATTGTGGAACATTATTTACTTTCTTCAGCAATAAGTCTGTTATAATGAATTTAAATTGGAACTGTTTTCAGTCTGTTCGAAGGGTTTTTTAAGAGGTTTGCATACCTCAACGCTTGACTTTTCTGCTTTGCTAGTTTCCAGAGTAAGTTGAACGAAATTTTGCGAATCTAACTCGTTTCAAACGAAGATTTTCTAAGACCCAGGAAACTTTATCTAACTTGGAAACCAGAATCCCACTAAACGCTTGAGAAGACAACGGAACACAAAGTTCGTTCTAACTCAAGCACTTGAATGAACAGCATTAGCAAGGCGGTGTTAGATAAGGATGAATAAGTTGCATTAAAAAAAGCACTATTAATTGTATTGATAGTCATTTGTAAATATTGCCGTAAAGTCTACTGCTGTGGCTATTCCGAGTTATTGTTTTGTTCAGGAAACAAGACTACAGCAGTAGCATTATTAAAATATTATAAAGTTTTTGAGCAGAGATTGACCGAATCGGATAAATATGTGTGTACATAATGGGACATCCAATGTTTGACTTATTTTCCAGTCAAAAATTGATAATGATGGCGATGATGATGATGATGATAAGCGACTTGAATAAGAACGAGATGGTCAAATCAGTACTCGTTTAAATATTTACTTATTCGTGAACGCAGTTAACCATTCTCATTTTTGATAATTCCAAAAAATAATAATAAGAATAGTTTTTTGCTAAAGAGGTAGTATTGAGGATTGAATTTCGAAAGAGTTTAGTTAGCGATTCTTAGAAGATGAACTGATTCAATGGCCCTTTCTTTTATGCAGCCCCAGGATTTAATAACACGATCAAATTGATTTGATCTTAGTTTCAGTTTGAGTTACATAAGGTCGTTCTTTGCATTCTATTATAATTACTTATTCTAAATACTCTCTCCCAGATTCGTGAATATGGCACCTTTAAGATTTCTCTCAATTTTAGTTAACCTACTATCCAGCTCTGCTAGGAAGAGGGAGTATTCGACAAATAGTGTGTCCGAATGAGTGTAAATTTCAGACTATAATTATACACGTATTATCGATTCTATTTGTCGAGGATAACCCGATCACCTACGTGATTTTAACTCGATACAAAAGTGCCACGAAGCGATATAGTTTTGGGCCAATTTCAGACAATCGGGTTCGAGAAATGGCACTGGGCAAAACTTTTACATCCCTTACTACGGTGATATGACTACCAAAAACGTTCTATGAGTCATGAAAAGATCAATATTGTACTGGCAATATAGTTAGTGATCATAATGGCTCACGATTTATCAAGATCCTTAATCTGAGGATTGCATCATTTCCTTTACCAGTCGAAAACAGTGGTTTAGATCTTTCATTCGTAGGTTGAAGTAAGTTTCAGTAAGTGCAAATAGACAAAATATATAAAAATTTATGACTAATCATCTTCTGGTCACGTTGCCTCAAATAGAAATTTTCATTTTATTATAACAGGGTAAATGGATATAGTAACGTAGGTGTTAATTGATAGATTAGGCTCTCATGATGGAAAGCGACATCAATCAATTTTCAACCAATCTCGAAAATTCGGTCATTTTTGGTCTGGTCTTATGAAATGCTTTCATCAAAATATGTTGTCCCTCCATATCCTATCTTTTGGCGCCTTCTAATTCGAGGAAATCTGCACCAACTGTCAATTTCACATCAATACACAAGGAATGAGAAATCTGGCAGCTTGCTTGTTTCACACAAACCTTTTTATTTTCGCATAGAACTGCCTCTCATAATTTGGTGGAGTTTTCAAAATACTCTTACCGACAGAATTGATGCTCCTTAATTCGATGCATTACTTCTTATATTTAAACGAGTTAGAACTTTCTATCGGAAAAACAGGCATACAAAGGAAGCGGTATCTGATCATCTTCAAATTTGAGCTCCAATTGATCGAAATTTTCTTAAACATCTTAAGTCCTGAGAGCTTTAGAGCCAAAAATCCAACAATCGCGAGTGAATAGAATGAAAGGATGCGTGCTCTCAATTAGAACCTTTTCTATTTCTATTTTAACGAACCTTAAAATAGAGGTTAGTTAGACTTACGATCACCCCAAGATGCAGATTTATCAGTGCCCTGTAACCTCAACCCCTACTTGTGGGACACGTCATCGCATGCCTGCACGCCAGAATTGGGAGGTGCGACCGTACAAACAGTGACCAATCATTAACCTCTGTTTGTTTAACCTAATCCGCCATCCTGATCATCATTAAGCTTTCTGCGTGTACATTTTATCTGCAAAATACCCACTGAATAAACGTGTTCCGCGCTACACGACTGTTTCCTTTATAGCTGGGCTATAGCCTAGTTGATTCTGGGAGTCTACCTAGATGTTGGAGAATCTGCCATAGAGATTTCCGAGTAAAGTCTAGGCTTTACTAGCATAGCAGT